TTCCTTCCTTCCTTCCTTCCTTCCTTCCTCCCTCCCTCCCTCCCTCCCTCCCTCTCTCTCTATATATATCTTTCTATCTTTCTATCTAATAAAATGTGTCCACGTTTTATCTAGCTATACAATTGAGCAGAAGAGTGGAGGGAAAGGGCCAGCGAGGGCTAGAAGGGGGGAGACCTGGCTAATTTTGTGCCTGGAAGCACCTTGGGAGCATTTAGAAAATGGGGGAAAAAAACGAACACAGAACAACCCACTTCAGATGTATTAACTGCCTCTTAATGCATCTATTCTGCCTTGAAAAGAAGACTCAAAGTCCAGATCCGAGGAGGACGAGTAAAAAGAGGACAGTGTGCCTAGCTCTAATTATCGCTAATAGTTCATACGTTTGAATAAAAGGGGAAAAAGTATTTCCGCCTGTAGATTTCCCCCCCAGGGTGAAGTCAATTTACGGGTTCCTTGGAATGGCGTCGACTGGGATTCCAAATTGAAATGCAGAACCGGTGCAAAGACGTGCTGGCGGGATCCGGGGGTCCCCAGCAACCTGGGCTCGCAATTCAACCAGGTTGGAGCTCTCCTGCCCGTCCGTGCACCGAGCGCCTTGCAAAGCAGGCCCCCCTTCCCGCCCGGCCGTGACGCGCAGCTCCAGCCAACAGCCACCGCGACGCAATTTCTTTTAAGTAGCTTCTTGGCAAAATGCCAGCCGGTGCATTAAAAACGAGGCGTCTGCAGCAAAACAAGAGATGGATGCCGTTTGGGGGCTACAGGGCAGCTGGGGGGGGGTGGAGAAAGACAGATCCTGGGGGGTCAAGACAGAAGGTCAAGTCTGGGTGTTAAAGCCACCAGGCAGCATCCAGGGCAGGGTTTCTCAACCTTGGCAACTTTAAGCTGCGTGGACTTCAACTCCCAGAATCCCCCGGCCAGCCATGGGTATCTCAAGGAGCTGGTTTTTCTCGATTGCTGATGTTTAGGGCCGGGAAGAGAAATCCGTTCACTGGTTCAAGCGCTCCAATTTTTTCTAGCTTTGTGCTGGATTTGAGAGGTTTGGGTGCGACGGGTGGCACCAGATGTGGACTGAAGGGGCTACGTGGCAGGTTTGGGGAAATCCCCATTTTTAGAGACATAGAAGAAAAGTCCTTTGGGGAAGAAAATAAACTCTAAGTGAAGCGCAGATGGGTGGAAAAAATAACCTGAGGGGTTTTTTTGGTGGAGGGAAGAGAAGCCCTCCCTGAAAAAAATTTGCAGCTCTTTCTCCTTTTTCACAGTCATGGATAATTCTCACCCTTTTACGGAGAGGGAAAGGTGATGCAAAACTGGAACATCATGTCTTCGGCGGTGTGAGAGCTCCTGCAGAGAGGCTGGCTTGGATTTTGCATCTTAATGGGAACATTTAATTAGCCAAAGGCAGTCCAAGTGGGCAGAAAAGAGGAGGCAGCAAAGGATGCTTAGATGGGGGGTTTCCTGCCCCAAAGCCCCGGGGGGATATCCCACAACTGCAAGGATGGATTTGCAGAAAAAACAAAACAGAATTTCCTTTTCTCCCCCTCATATATGAAAGAATAGCAATGCATCTGGAATCGCCCCCCTCCCGACTTTTCTTCTGACTTCTGAAGAGGCACCTGGCCCTATTCTGGAAGGATAATCCTTGTGCTAGCCTGGGGAGCACGTTAGGGCAAGCTTCTAGTCCTCATTGAGGAACCCAGGTTAAAACAGCTGCTCGGTTTAACTCGGGATGACACCGCACCTAATTGTGTTGGTATCTGCTGGTTAGCACAAGCCCCTGCTGTTTGGACCTGCTGGATTTCAACCTTGCTGAATTCCAACCCTCCGGGACGTTTTTCCAGAAATTCAAACCTCCTCTGCTCACTTCACTGGGGGGCATCTCCCTTTCTCCAAGCTGCAGTGCTTCGTAAACTCC